CAGTAACAGACAAGGCTAGCTATTCATATTAGCATTGTTTGGTTTGATAACAAAACTAAACCAAAAATAAAGCAGGTGAGCTTTTGTATCCATGACTTAACAGATATGTACAACTAGCGGTGATGACCGTAAACCACAATGACAAAAGTTTGGGAACATAATGTGTTTTGACACCTGAGCACCCTACATGATTTTGTTCTTGAGCATTGCAGAGCATTTTCAAGTTGTCTAGCTGTGATGCTACTAGTCCAACGGTATTGATCTCGTAGCAAGAACATTTGGGGATAACTTTTTAGACTTTTGGTGCTGGAATGTGGCAAAATTTAACGCTAGAAGGGGAACGCCCTTCTAAAACCCACCCCCCAAATTCCCTAGCCTGTGTTCTTTTAATGCCAATCGATAACACAAGCAAAGCAAGCTAGCTAGAAAAATGCTATCATTAAACAGAACTGTTCTTCTCTTACAAAATTTTTACTGCATGTAATATGTTTTCTGACTCACATCTACATGTTTATTTGGAGTTTTGGGGGACTTTTCAGCCATGCTAACTTACACTACATCTCGTTTGGTGCTAAAGACAGGATTGTTGTCCATTGCACAATGTTAATGAGCGCACTAGCACCCCTACTTTGAGCTCTGCTTTCACAAGGCTTTGGATTTGTTTGAAAATTTCACATTCAGTTTTTTCCCACCTTAATAAGTCCCAAAAATTTGGCATGGTTGTTCTCAGATGTTCTCACGACCCAGCAAGACTATCGCATTACTGTCTACAGCTAATCATCATGAAGTGACTTCATATGAAAAGACCACTGGCTCAAAATAACACAAATTATGTGGACGTGGCAAAGGACCCAGTAATACTAACCAGCTGCAGTTAAACTCAGCGGTTTACACCTTTTTCTAAAATAAATAAAACACATTAATAGATCATGAATAAGTACATTAATACACAGCTCAATGACACATATGGGATTCAGTGTGGCATACATGTAGATAAGTTCATATCTTGGCACTTAAATAAGGTCTTCCACAAATTTCCTATGATTAATAATTAGCTAATAGTGTTACCAACTGCTACTTAGGATCTTTTAAGGATTTCCATCCAAACTATTAATGTTGGGAAAGATATAAAGTTTAAAGATAAAATACTGTTTGTAGTGCAAAGACACGACTCTGATGGAGCTGATGTTTTCAGGACCTACGGAGAACGCCAGAACATCTCGAAACATCTAGAAACTCCTGAAAGCAACCAAACAACTGAACAAAAGAGCACGCTGGGCTATGTTTGGCTGTTCCAGCGCATGAGTCACTCCACAGAAGAGCAGTAAATATAGAAACGCTATAGAAACGTCTGAATACTGAGGTTAAACTAGCTAACTGGTTTTACACCGTCTACATCTACCAGCATAGCCTGGGGCACCACATGTCCTTGGTATACAGTGTCTAGTTGCTCAGTGATGACGTACTGCTAACAGAAATGGCATTAAATAGGCCGGGAATGGTTTATATAAGATATGCGTAGATTGAAACAGAAAGCAAGAAAAACAGAAGAATGCTAAGAAAATGAACAGCCGCTAAAAGAGAGCTCAAAGATGAAACCATTCTGAATGAGGAATCCATCGTCTCCTTCATAGCTCAGTGCTAAACTCTCCCATAACAAACCGAGACACAATTTTTGGAGGCTTAAGTGCAGCAAAGCTCGACAATATATGCAAACAGGTGAAAAGAAAGAAATAAAATGGTCTCACTTTATTTGGATGGACCACTATAGATCACCTCCAGGTGTTTATTAACTATCTGGTGAAACAACAGCTTTAGGATAAGGGTGAGGTTTAGGATCTGGGTTGAGCTTAAAGTTAGGCAGAAGATGAATTTAACAGATGTGTAGTTGAATGTAAATTAAAACAGGCAAATGTTTGGATGCAGCTGCTCATTAAAACCAAGTGGGTTTTCCTTAAAATATAAATAGTGTTTTCCTATAAAATAACACAGAGCACAAACTTGTATCTCCAAAAGAGTCACTTTACATTCTTTTTCTTTTAGGGTAAGAAAATGTAATTCTACATCAATTTGGATCATTTATGTTGGTCTATTCATTATGACATTTAGTGTTAAACAAGCTCAAACTATTTTTGAAACCCCTCACCTTCTTTGCCATTATGCAGCTTAACAAAGTCACATTCCCAAATAGAGCCTTGTTTGAGATAGCATCAACTTCACTATTGGAATTTGTCTAAGAAACAAATTTAAAGCATTTAGGCTTTTAGATCTTTAGATCAAATGTCTTTATCATTAAGAGAAATACATATTCTCACAAACTGGTATTGTATGTGAACGATCTACAAAGCACCTAAAGTGCGCTATCCAAATAAAGTGTTACCAAAAAAAATATTTTCTGAGCTTTTGATGTATAAAGTACTGTATGACACTCAAATGATGCTCATTTCTGTATTTCTACTGGTCAACATTTGGCTAATGGATGATGACAATACTGTATTGTTCTATTAATACCATATACTGTATTATATAACACTCTTTGCTGTATACTGCAGTGGTGATGCTTCTCCACCATGACGTTATACATTAACAAAGCCTAAAGGAGAATAAAGCAGTATAAAACCTGCCCAAACCCAAATTTCACATTGTTTCTTTTCCACAGTGTTTGTTCCTCTAAGGCTCGTGCATAAGTTTGCTTTGTTCCTCTCATCCCTCCATCAACAGCTCGACAAAAACAATTAGCAAATAATGAACTCATTTTAATGAGTTACCTTCAGATCTGCAAAACTACACTGTTGATATACAAGCACAGATTTATGTTGTTCTGCTAACTTTAAAAGAAAAATAACGCAAATATTGTTGCAGAGACACATTAAGGTGCACGCCTACCAATGTTTGATATCCTAACTTCATAAATCAATTGCAGAAGTTTACTGGAATTGTGGCCAGACTTTGACACAACCAAATGTACAATTAGCTCAATGACCTTTTTATTTAAAAATAATGTAACACATGTTTATTTCCATGTCCTACAGGGGCACCCCGACCGAAATGAACAACACAACCATCACTACATCTGTTGTAAACATTCTATAAACTAAAGACCCTGTGGCCTCTTGAATTAGACTTTCAGGTTAAAACCTTTTCTCATGATGTATCTTGAGCTTCTGGAGAACGACAACCGCTTTTGGGTGGATATTTGGTGGTTGTTTTCATTTTTTTGTTTTTGTTAGCTGGCTGTTCACAGAAGGAAGCCAGGATACTAACATTACTGTTGGGAAGCTGCATCTTAGTGCAGCTGTTTAACCGCAGTAACTGTCTTCAAATCATTATTACAGTGGAGAGAATATATTACTCAAACCACAGATGAGCTCAAAGCTAAAATTAGCAAGATCGCTGGTTATGTAGACATTAGTTTGGCTCATTGTCTCTGACTGAAAGGGTAAAAACTCATCTCTGGGATTCATTTTGCGCTGATTAAAGACAGAATCACGGCTTTGTTCCCAATTTTGTTCTACGATGGAGTTAAGAGTTACACTAATACCAGCTCAGCTGTGCTTATTAGCCTGTAGCTGAGTGGCTAGGCTTGCAGTCAGGATTGATGATATCACAGGGATTCCTAATGGCTGTATGATGCATTTGCGCAATGCATGCTGGGTATTGTAGTGAAAGAACACTGATAAATGAAAACGTGAAAATAATCTTAAATTATGAGTTCTGTAAAAGGCTGAAAAATACAATGCTGTGTTAAGGAATACAGCAATAACACGACAAATAACTCTAGCTTTAGGCCGGAATGCCCCTCTTAAGGATTTGCCTATAAAAGTCCTCAACTGAGAATGAAAATGAGTCCAAAAATAAGTAATAAATCTCTGCTTATGAGTGATGTAGACTGTATGTTGCTAGTTAGAGGTCAATTTAAATCAGAAAATAAAGAGGAAGATGCAGATTAGCTCTGTTCAGTCTGTAGGAACTGTACACAGCCTATATACAAACAAAGAAATGGTCAAAAAATGACTGGAAATAAATTATATTTCCAAATATTTTGCATTGTGTGAATAGACGTGTTTATGAATATGCATTGTTCTTGGTGGACAGTATTGTTTTATCTGAGCCACTTGAGATAAGCTGATCTTTCCAGACAAAGAAGAAAGAATTTGTTTTTCGTCTCACTTTTCAAAATCATAAATCATATTTATGACTGGTGATTGTGTTTTTTGTTTTTTTTGTTTTTTTAAATATTTTATCCATAACCATCAACAGAAGACCTTTAAATCTCTAAATATTTGTTTGTTTTTGGCCTGAAAAGGTGCATGCAATAGATGTAAATCACTACATTGTACAGTATTAAAGTATTTACAACCTCTGTACAGATGACCATAGATTTATACCAGCTGTGACAACACATGAGGGTTAACAAAGACCGTAAAACTTCAAATACTTAAAATTTCACAACTGATTTCTTTTTTTTTTCTTCGTGTAACTCTAAAATGACAGGACACCAGGATAAGTTTGTGAACAATTCAAAAAAAATAGTTTGTGAATAACGGGCTTCATGGTGTTGCCCAAAGTGCCGTTCTGCTCTGTGTAGTGCTCTTCGCACCGCTTCTTGTTCAAGGGATTCTGGGAAATGTAGTCATGCAGCTCATTTTTAGCCCCACCCCCCCAAAAATAAAAGATTTCAGCGAATCCCAGATGTGCTGTAAGTTTCCAGTTTTGTTTTTGTTGTTTTTTTTTGTTGTCCCCTCGACCTAGTTTGCTACAACTTTTGCTTGATACACAACATACACACACACACACACACACACACACACACACACACGATAAAAAAATAAACATAAACCGAGTCAATTCACAAGAAACAAGGGAAAAAGCGAAACACTTTAGTGCGCTTCTGAAAAAACAGAACAGTGTCGCAGGAGCGTGGAACGCAAATAAATAAATAGATAGATAAATAAATAAATAAATAAGTAAATAAATAAATAAATAAGGCCAGCTAAAACAGACACGGTGCAGGCGGAACGGGGGCGGGGTTTATCTTAGAGATAGAGATAGGACACCCAGTAGACGAGGTTGAACAGGCCGAACGCTGTGGGGAAGAAGATGCGGGCGTACGAGTCTATCTTTGCGATGCGGATATGCAGGCGCCCGTGACGCCACGCCCCGGAACGGCAGTCCTCGAAGCAGCAGAAGAAGCTGGTGCAGTCCTTTCCGTCCAAACACTCGTATCCGTACTCCTCGTCACGCTCCTGCATGTGTGTGGCGTTGTTCATCTGGATGGCCGTGGCCGAACGAGGGCGGATGTCCACCGTGGGGGCCTGCTTTTAGGAGAAAGAAGAGCAGAGTTAGTCAGAGAGTACAATGACACGAACACGAACACGACAAAACTGGGGACTGCATTTATAGGGCCCATACAAGTCCACTTATAAAGTCTGCATGGGTTTGCTTATTAAAAACAGGCCTAGTTAATTTTTGCATTATTATTTTTTAACCTCTCTTTATCCCTTAGAATCAAATGACCTGTCTGTGTTACTATCCCTTTAAGATATATGCAAATGACTGCTGTTCTGATTGGCTGCCCCCGTTAAAAAAAAGCAGTCCAGGCTGAAATATACGGAACAAACTGCTACGTTCAGACTGAAATACTCAGGTCTGTGGGGCAAAAAAAATCACCAGCCACTTGTTTCCAATGTGTGGATCCTTCGGAAGGCCAGGATGATCAATATGCTTCCTGACAGCCAGAAACAACACAACGTTTAATAATTCCCCCACAACTTCCACTCCAATAACTCTGATACAGACTGTAGGCTGAACTTCTGTACGCTAAATGGGCGGAGCTAACACACTAAAGCCTGAATGGACAGGGCTACAATGCTGGAGACTGAATGGTTGGGGCTAAACTGATGGGCACTGAAAGAGTTGCAGCTCTTTTTATGACATTTTTCAATATTCATAGCTGAATATTAGGTCTATAAGTAAATATTAATATTATCTGTGTAAAAATGTTATTATAAGTGGCCAATATAAGCTTACCAACTAATTTACATAGCTAATCTAGACTAGACCTCATATCACTCGTCTCTGAGTGTTTGGTCCACTACTTTAGATTAGGTGTTTTTGAGTGTAAAATATTTGTCATCTGTTTTGTTGTTTGTCCAATCTTTTCTTTTTACAGGTTGAAACAAAATGCCAGGGTATCTGCAGCAAAGTGAGACTATTGTAGCATGTTTGGAATTTTCCTGTTAGTTTTGCAGTAATTGTTCTGCAGCATCTATTCGTTGGGTTTTTCTGTAAAGACTCTTATTCTGAAGGCGGGGCTGACCAGCTAGCTGTGCTCTGTGTAGATTAGGAAGTACTGAGACTGAGAGTCTAATGGTGGAGATTAAGATAGGAGCTTAGTCTAGAGCGAACTGTTAGACAAAAATCTTTTAATGTACGGCACGGCTGTGGCCAACAGCAGCTATTTAATAAAGCACAACAACTTGTGCAAAAGCGACGTCTTTACTGAGCAATACTGTTGGTGATTTTACATTAAGATAATAATATAAAAAAATATTTTAAATGAAAATGTAAAAAAACACAATATCACACAATAACCCAACGAAAGAGTTAAAATGAGTCCAGTGCTTTTATAGATATGAACCAAATTGAGTTGTTTTTTAACCCAGAATTTAGTGTAATTTTTCATACTTCACCCTTTCAATCATTTGACAGCCCCACTATATAATTTCCTCCGATGGTCTTAGCCTTTGTACAGTGCTGTAGACGCAGCATAGCATGTATTTATACCTCGCTCTTACCATTAATATTTAAGCACAAGACAAAAGAGCCATTGGCATAATACATTTACTAGCAGAGAGCCATTAAAGGCACTTTAATGAGCTCCCGCAGTTTAACCTCTCTCTTCCTGAAGACCCTCATTCAGTGCTTCTCATACTAATTGAGTGACGGGACTTTGTCCGTTTCCCTGCTTCACACTGTCGACTCCATTGACATTTAAATGAGACACTCTGGGCTCCTGTTATCAATCAGCCGCATGCTACCACTGCACAAATTCCAGAAGGTGCCTCCGCCTTTATTCTCGACTAACGAAGCGGAGCTTTCCCTGACCCTGCAGTCCTCATTTACTCAGATCTGCACTGACCTTTAAAACTCAAAAGGAAACGTTATGTTGTTTTCTATTTCTTGGAACAGACACATGGACAGCTTTGCAGGCTTGTGGGTTAAAAAAGACATATTTATATAAACCAGGGTCCTTAAAAAAAGCAGGCCATGTTGGACACTGCAAAAATAATATTCTGGCAAGTGAAAGTGTCCTAAATATAAGAAATATATTAATATTGCTCAGTAGAGACTGATAGAAAAATATTATAAAATTATACATCTTATTTCCAGATGGTTTTTTTGTAGAAAATCATAAATCTTATAACCTCTACATCATTAAACGGTTAAGACATAAGCAAAATCATTCAGAGCTGACATGCTATGCTCCGTTCTAGAGAAAGTTTGTTCACAGTGGTGGTGATAGGAACCAGACGTCCACCTCTAAAGTGTCTGAGTGTCTGAGACACTGTTTTATGATAGTTTAGAGAACTTAAACTCCATTCATGGTGGAGGGATACATGCAGGGCGCTGTGAGGCAAAATAGTCCCCAAAGAAAACTTATTATTTCAGATTTTCCACTATTTTCCATCATCAACATTCCATATAAACTCAGAAGACTCGTGTAGGTTCACTGGTGGTTCTGGATAGTAAATAAAATGTCTATTTGTGTTGTAGTCATGGCGACCCCTGGTTCCTATCACCACCACTGTAAAGACACCTGAACTATTTCACACCAAACCTCTCTGAATCTCTGTTTACATCTCAACCACTCAATTATGGAAATATTTTTAAAACATCATTGGAATTCCCCTTCAAAAAAAGAGAAAAAATAAGGTGAATAATTGTACAATATTTTTACATCCATCCCATAATGAGAAATATTAGATATTTAACCTACATTAAAGATGCTTGCACTTGCCAATATATCATTTCTCCATTCACTGAGCTGCGTTCTTTAATACGGCCTGAGAATAGCTGTGAATTCTATCGACCCACAGTACATCAAGAACATTACAAATCTGAGAAAATGGGCCTTCAGGCACATTTCCCGCCGTCTCTGGGAAATCACATGCATTTTGTCCAGCACTAGTGCATCATCGTCCCTTTGAAAAACGAAGCACGCCCAGAAAAATGCGCCGGGTTTGGTTTTATGGTGAAGCCGCCTGGGGCTCAGACCGAGCTGGGTCACGTGACTCGCTTCTCAAAGGGTGTTTCAGAAGGAAAGAAAGCAAAAAAGGAAGCAAGAGAGCACAAAGAAACCGTGCCTGAAACACAGCGGCACTGCAGCTTTAACTGCATGAAATCAGACAACCTTGATGTTTTTTTTATTCCTGTCCTTCATTCTTTCCTGCCTCACTTTCACTCCAAGCTTTTTCAACATCAATTTATTCTGAAATTATTCTGAAACTAGTTCGATTTTTACCAAACACCTCACTTAGAGCTCAGAAGAGCTTTAAATTTGACATATTGCAGGTTATATTCTCAATGTTAAACCCTGGAGGTCACAGTTATTTCACTGCAAAAAAGATTTGTTGCTTTAACTTAGAAAAGTTGGTAACTAGAACTTGCAATAAATTCACAGAACAATAATCTGTTTGACATAGTATCGCATGGCCACTTAATTATGTTGTTCCCATGCTTTACTAAGTCATGGCCACCACTTAATTATCATCACTTAATTATCTTATTCCTTCATTTTAAAATTGCAGCCTCGATTTAACAATCTCGTTCCCACACCTTACTAAATCATAATCTCAACTCAATTATCTTGTCTTAATTATCTTGTTTCCATGCTTTACTAAGCCATGGCCACCACTTAGTTATCATCACCTAATTATCTCATTCCCTCACTTAACAACCTCATTTCCACACCTTACTAAATCATAACTACAACTTAATTATCCTGTCTTAATTGTCTTGTTTTCATGCTTTACTAAATTGTGGCCAACTGTCTCATTGGTCATGGACTCTACTATCTTGTTACCACACCTTACTACCTCATGGCCACAACTTAAACCATCTCATACCCATACCTTTCTAAGTATGGGCCATGACTCTTCTCCTTCCTTAAGTCATTGCCCTGCCTTAATTACCATGACATAATTATCTTGTTACCACATTTTTTTAAGTAATAGCCACAACTTAATTGTTATGTCTTACTAAATTAAATTCTCATGTCAACTCCTTTCTAAGTCATGGCCATTATTTAATTGTCATGACTTATTTTGTTCCCACACCTTACTAAATTGTGACCAACTATCTCGCTTTCACTTTTTACCAACTTATGGCCCTGACATAGCTATCTTGTTCCCACACTTTTATGTACGGGCCAAACTTAACTACCTTGTGTTCACACCTTACTTAATTGTAAACACAAACGTACTTACATATTGAAAGTATAAGAAAGTGATGATAAGTCTGAAACTACTTTTTCCTCATTTTCCTGCAGTTTTCCAACTTTTAAACATAACTTTCTCAACATCTATTTATTCAGAAATTATCCTGAAGGCTGAAAAGTTTCAGCACAAAACAGTCCAAGGACTCAGATTAGCATTATATTTTACATATTTCGATTCTCATTCAGTAAGTGTTGAACATTTTACTCATTGTGTCCCCTGGCCTGACCTCACCTTCGGTCTGAGCCTTTAACTGTGATCTTCTAACCTAAATCTTATGTAATTATAGACCTGTGAATCAAGCTGTGGCGGCTCTTTAAAGATCGCTCTGGCTAAAGCTGCCAATCCTGGCAATTACGATGCTGCTTAATTGGCGTTAAGCCGGTTAGAGGGGGGTTGTCCACTTCAGGCTGTTAAGGCTCTGCTGACTCTTTAAGAAGCGTCAGGTTAAAAGCCCCGCATACACACACATACACGAGGGAAGGTCAGTAGGCGGGGTTAAAAAGAAGCTGTTATTGTTTAACTGAGCCGCCCATGCTCCGCTCACAAATGCATTCTTTCACAGCTACTGATGAAGAAAAAAACCCATTCAACCTGATGAGAAACTGTACTGAACACTCAGTGTTTGGCAAATGCTAAATAATATTAAAGAGATGGATTTTTCAAAATTCCCCCATAATTCAGTGTGTGAGGTGTAAACAGAGGTTCAGAGTGGTTTGGTATGAAATGGTTCAGATGTCTTTACAGTGGTGGTGATAGGAACCAGGGGTCACCATGACTACAACACAAATATAGACATTTTATGTACTATCCAGAACCACCAGTGAACCTACACGAGTCTTCTGAGTTTATATGGAATGTTGATGATGAAAATAGTGGAAAATCTGAAATAATATGTTTCCTTTGGGGACTATTTTGCCTCACAGCGCCCTGCATGTATCCCTCCACCATGAATGGAGTTTAAGTTCTCTAAACTATCATAAAACAGTGTCTCAGTCATCAGGCAGTGAATTCATAACCATCTCATGTAGGAACTTTCTGTGAGGGAGCTTTTAGAGGTGGACGTCTGGTTCCTATCACCACCACTGTGGACAGTTCTGACTCGGTAAGTTTCTCTAGAATAGAGCGTTTCACACCAAACCACTCTGAACCACTCTGAATGACTCTGTTTACATCTTAACCATTTAGGCAGAGATTCTCTCTTTTAAATGATGTCACACTGATAGGATGGAAGTTGGTGTGTGTGTGTGTGTGTGTGTGTAATTGAGCTACTTTTAAACTGAATTAAATTAAATCAAATTAAACCAAATCAGACTAAATCATCTACTAATTTTAGTGTACAACTTCTATTTATTTGCTGAGTTTAACATATCAGAGCACAATAAAACAAAATATAAAATGTGCTATAATTTATATAGGACACATTTTATGTTCCCATTATGTTAAATTCAGCAAATAACCTGTAATTGAGTATTAAAATGCGCTGAAGTGTTTTCTCCGAAGGGGATGTGGTGACTTATTTTCTCTTTTTTTGCCCAGACTTTTCCAAATGATCATATAATTTGAAACTAATTAATTAAATCATCATCAATAATGCACTCTAAACTCAAGGCTGAGTTAAAAACAATTTCTCATTAGATTGAATGGGATTTTGTTAATGTAGCAACAGGCAGCTATGAAAGATTGCATCTGTGGGTGGAGCATGAACATGTCAATAATCAGAACAGTACAAAAGCACACTGAACGTGATCAACACCATAAGCTTTGTAGGAATGTTGGTTAAAATGTGAACTGTGCGTGTTTTGTGTGAGTCGGTGTCATTGTGGCGCGTCCAGCGGCTTTCTGTCATCACAGGACATACAGTTATGTTATTAGCAGTAGCACAAAACAGCGCTTGTGTAAGGGGACTGTGGTGGGTTATGTTGAAAACAAAGATGGAACAGGCACAAGAGCAGCGCGTGTGGCGTCAAGCAGACACATGCAAGACGTTTTCAACTCGTACACAAGCAATATACCTTTGAGGAAAAGAGCCGGAGGAGCTTTTGTCCAAACAGGAAACAAAGAACATGTAGAATTAAAACAAAAACAAAAAAAAAGCAAAAGAAACAAAAGTACAACAACATCAAAAACATCAACAACAACAAATGTAAAGAATAAGCAACAGAATGTCGTAAAGAACAAACTGAACTCAGAAAGTGGGAAGAGAACAACATACTGTAAATACTGTACCACACAAACACATAATACAGTTATAACGCACACAGGAGGAAGATGCATGAGCAGATATGTTAAGATCAGGTTCACTTCAGTCTCAGAGTGGATTTTCATGGTATTCTCTATAATATGAGGAAGCCAATAACACAGCAACCAGGAGTCAGCTGGTGTAGGAGGTCATTTATAGTGCAAACATAGAGGAAATAAACACAGCACTAAATCCTATATGGGTTCAAGTAGGGCTGTGACGATATGCAAATTCCATGACACAATATATCTTATCATTTTTGCATCACAATACAACACAATCTGAACATAATTTTTATGTTTTTGTAATTCCTAAAACATTTTATAAAAAGGTCAAAACAGCTCTATGATAACGCTAATTCTTCTACTAGCATCCCTACTGGATTCGGTAGCTTGTTAGCACTAAGCTAACAGTGATTCCCATAAACATTTGGGCAGTTTTAGATAAAACACAGACTTTTGAAGCTTCTGAAAGATATTTCGTGTTTTGTTTGCCACTTGTGACAGACACACTGGCATATTTTACCTTGTGTCAGTTTCACAGTGACTTTCAGTAGTGAGCTCTGGTGCAGAGCTGCTGCCACTGTTTTTAGTTTCTAACAACCCACTGATGAGGCTGCTGCTTGTCGGTGATGTATCTATAACTTCCAGAAGGCCTAGGTCAGGGGTCGGCAACATGCAGCTGTCTTACTGTCCTGTGGCTCCACAGCTGAATCAGATTTGTAGGTAAAATTAAAATAATCCTCCTTTACAGTAAAATAAAGCTCTGCTGATCGTTCAACACAGTTTATCAATAAATGGTCTTAAACGCTGGAGTTATTGTAGAACTGCTGATTCACCCTTTAACCCTGAAGATCAGCGCAGACTGCTGGTCACCATAGCAACACAGACAACAATCTTGCCTAGCCAGTAGCTAACGAAACGGCAAAGAGACAGATTTAAGATGAACATTGAACAATTGGAAATATTGCATTATTTGGAGACAAATTAACTTATTTGTGTTTAGAATCCCTCCAGCTGGTTTCCCGATACGTTTAATCTGCAACGAGAAACTGTCAGAACACTAAAATGTCATGAAGCTGAAGTCAGTTTCTCATTTGCCAGCTTCTTGTTTGAATTCTCCCATTCCACCTTAAATGGTGAGCAGCTGCATTCTGGCACCCCAGGCACCATTTAAGGTGGGACGGGATACTTCAACAAGAAGCTGGAGAATGAGAAACTGACTTCAGCCTCGTAAAAAAAAATCAAACGTTGAGACATTTTACAAGAAACTGTTCTACTTTTGAGGAAAAGTTTCCTGCTGGAGATGTGAGAAAAGCAGCTGTAGCTGAGCTAAAGCTTAAAGCAGAGCAAAGTAAGTCTGTGTTTTTGTTTATATTTTTTAGCCCAATATCAGGACATTAGCTAGCATATATATAAATAAGACATCTTTTCAGCCAAGATGGTGAAACGTTACTTCAGTAAAATATCAGTAAAATGTTGAGGCTCTCAAAGTGGTTTGATTTTTGTTGAAAGTACAAAATGGCTCTTCTTAACATTTGGGTTGCGACCCCTGACCTGGAGTGATGCTTTTCTGACAAAATTGGTTCCACTTATTAGAAATCAAAGAGTGATTATGTTGATAGTTAATCTAACACAGTTGGCCTTTTCAGCTTGTGAGGTCCACAGAGGAAACACTGGACATTCCCAGAATTTAACTCCATCAGAAACTTAACAGTCAAACAAAAGTAGTGCTGTAACACAAAGTTTAACTTCAAGTATTCTTGATTTTCTACTGAACAGAAAATCAGAAATCATTCTTCTCTGAAGGTCTAGAAGGCTCTGACGTTTCTCCTCCGGAGGGGAACTTCTTTTAGCCTTAACAACAAAAATCTCATCTAGTGCAGCTTTAACAGCTCCACACAGTTTGAGGTGAGTGTGTGCTGACTTAGGCAGGCAGTTAGCACTGCGCTAATTGGTGGGAGTTTGTCCTAACTGAGTCTGTATCCCAGCGTTCACTGAGGTGGTAAACCTTCAAAAGAGAATTCCAAAACATCACTTTGAAGGAATTTATTTTGATGAAGTCATGAAAAGCCACTTGCTCTCACACGGCGGTGAACTGTTTCAGAGTATGCAGAACTCCTGAAGGGCTTCTCACTTTTAAATCAATAAACAATAAGATCACAGTAAGCCAAACAAAACAGTTGGACTAACGTCATATTAAGGTGAGAATGAGCAATTATCATTTCTTGGCTGTATGGAGTGGAGGAGCTGTTTGTAGGTGGTGTTATGCACGGACTGACCTATATTCATGTAAGCGGTCGGCTGTAAGACTTGATCAATTTTAAATGTAATAATTAAAAAAAAGTACTGTTTTGAAAGTTGTATGAAACTTTCACAGATCAACTTCGGCATAGCGGAGGAGGTATTATCAACTCTAGCACCTGGTCAGTTCTGCATATTCTGAAACTCTTTACTGTCTAATAACAGCAAGTCACTTGTTCCTTCAAAAAGATGTCTGGAATCCCATTTTTTGAAGGCTGACCACCTCACTTAGGGAACATTGGGAGGATTACTTGGATACAGGACCAATTAAGACAAATTTCCACCACTTAGCATGACGGTAACTGCATGTCTAAATCATCACACACTCTCCTCAAACTGTGTGGAGCTGCTGAAACTGTACTGCCTTTTGTTGTTGAAACTGAAAAAAAGTCTGATTACTAAGTGAGGAGAATAAAAACAGGCTAAAATATGGTGAGGGTGAAATAGAAACACCTGTTTACTAAAGAACCCTTGAAGAACCAAGTGTGTACTGATGATATCCAAGGTATGCTCAGAAAATGATCATAAAATATCATCATATTGCCCTACAGCACAACCTCTCGGTTTTCTTGCAGCACTTTAGTTGATTCATGTTATTTGAACAGATTTAGTGTTTGTTTATTCATTTTAAATTAGTAAATTTAATAATTTAAATCTTATTAAAAAGAGTAAATAATGACATTTATATTGTGAAATAAATGTTATTTGTATGAAAGTGTGCTAATGTGCTTCATGTCTTCTTTTAGGCCAAACAATTTGAGCTTTGGATATAAAAAAGACTAATAAATATCATCTATCGGCCAGTTTGGCTGTAAAGTAATCAGAACTGGAATTGGCCTTGATCATGATCACTGCGTCTCTAACTAACAGGATTAATTATCGCTGTCACATCCAAAATCTTGTAACACACTTTTTTTTTACTTCACTTGAAAACCTTAAGAATGAACCAAAAGACATGGTCCAAAACCGCCACTTTATCACAACTACTTGCAATAAAATCTCCTAAAATTAAAAAATGCCAAAACTGCAGTGGCCGCTCCTTTGATCTTATTATAGGTGCTGAAGAGGTGCTGAAACTTTTAATGCCAAAATAGGGTTTTACATGGCACAAAATGTAAGTAAATCAGCCCCAATGACTTTTTCTTCTCCTATTTCTGAGATACAAGGTTATCATTATTATTTGTTATCAAAACTAACAGTCAAATCAACCTTATTGGTCCTGCTTTACATTAAGTGTTACAACTGTGTAGTTACATATTAACTGCCTATGTAACAACAGTATAACTACTGGTGCTGTATTCACCGATACAGATCAATAACAGTAGTGTAGCTTATGTAAATGCGTACAGTTTTAACACGTAATTACACAAGTGTATGTTGATTGTAATAGCAATTTTATCTTATGTAATTACATGTGTAATACAGTGAACTGCTGTTTTTATGACAAGACTTTTCTGATTGTAACAGATGTGTAATTACCCATATGAGCGAACTTACACTGCACAGAAAACGGTAACTATCCTAACATTTACCTAGCTATAGTATTAGGCTAGTGTTGTGATATGGTCACCAAAGTTCTGGCTTTCAACCATTCTGTAATGTGACTATTTGCACAGCAACAGCTGTTACACATGTAAATACATGTGTAATGTGTAAGTACATGGCAGAGAAGTGCTAAATAAGCTGTTACAATATGCGGTTACAACTATCAGTGTAATTACTTGAGTAAAACCTGAAGTTGATAAACTTGTATTTACATTAGCTGCACTGCTATAATCCATCTATAACAGGGAATAAATATAAAACTGGTTGTTACACTGTTAGATATATTGCGATAGTGTAACTACACAGTTAATACAGACACAACATAAAATGGGACCAATACATTTTATATGAAAGACTGGCGCAGACTGAAGTATGAACCTGGTCTTCTTTTCATGCAAATTACATCTGTAATAAACAATCACCACTGAACAGTTAAACAGAGCATGATCAAACTGCCGTCTTAAACGCTTCACACAGAAAAGCTGTGATATTTCTAAACTCTGTTAGGCATCTAACACAGAAGTGCCGTGTGAAGAACCTTCCTGGAGAGTTCTACCAAATCCAAACTGGTGAACGCAGTTTGAAAACCTTTTCCTCATTAGTCCGCCTGATGTTTATACCCACAAATCAAATCACAGGGTTTTTTGGGACCCATTTTGGCATCTAAAAGTGGAATGACCTCATTTGCTAAGAACGACCTCCTTCAAACTGAAGATACTGGGCGCCATCAAACCAGTCCAGTCATGTGACTGACAGTGGCATCGCTACAGACGATAAAAGCAGGGATTAAGGGCAAGTCTCAATACCACGTTAGCCAGAGAGATGGGCCTCGTGGCCATAGCTAACGCCCAGTGGACAAGCTTAAACCAATAAGAGGGCTAAGCTCTATGTGGCACACTTGGCTGAAAAGACTAAGGACTGTGTTCTGCTCTGGATGTTTTAACCCTTAGAAGTCAGGATAACAAAAACGTGTGGAAAGTGCAGATTCTACACTTTCAATTCATACCACATTAGTGTTTGTACATAGAAAAGGAAATTTGTTTTTTGTTTTTTTCTTTGAAATATTGTGAATTTAATGTTATGGAATGTGTACAGTCTTGTTTTAGGGAATTAAAAGCTATTCATTACATTTTTCCATGTTTTTTTTTGTCATTTTTTACATCAAAACAAACAAAACATAATAATATTGACAAGTGAAATCATCCTAAATCTAATCTATATACATTGTATTTCTCATTTGAGATTGTTCTAACAATATTATGTTAAGCAGCATATTGGGGATTAATTAAGGTCTCGTTTTTGTTCACTAAAATCAAAATTAACATTCCTAAATGTTTTTTATTCATTATACAATAAAATTTCATTCTGACCTCTATCACAAAATTGGACATAATTGGAAGTCTGTTATGTTAAACTCACTTATTATTGTACTATTATTTGTAACAATGCATCATAAGCACTTTAAGACCTTGCTATGTAAATTATTGTGCATGAATTTTCATTTATTCCTCATTTTATTGACAAAACACATTAGAATATGAAATGCATCTGGAAGTATTAGTCCTGTATTAAACTCTCATTTGCTTTTAAGTAAAAAGCAGTAAACTTGAGACTATCTAGAACCTGCAAGAATCAAATACTATTCATTGTACACTGACATCCTGTGAATTTAAATGATAAACTCAGTCAATTGTTCGCATAACAAGGTATAAACAAAGTGTTTGCTGTGGATTATTGCAAGTCATTATTAATTATTAGTGATTTTCACATAACAGTCCTCCAGTTATAATGAATAAAGTTTAATGCACAGTGAATGAATCATTTAGAAGTGTCTAATATATTTAATAATATTTTAGCATTGTTTCGCTTATTTCTAAATGTATTTACTTAAATTAATGCAATTTATGATCTAATTATATAAGCAACTGTTTTATTCCACTTGCAAATGATTTTGCATTTTTCCACACATAATGTTGCTTGTTTTGAAGTCTTATCTGCTAATATGATAAGACACTTTCACTAAATACATTTTTATTTAAAAGTAGTAGAATAGTGTCTTGAAATGAGTTAATTTATCTTATATTCTTATAACAATCCTAAAATGAAAAATGACATATTTTGACTAGATTTACGTTGACTAGATTTAAGATTTAAGCCAGGATATCCTTTTCTGCAGTGGTCATTAAATGTAAATGTAACTTCGTAATTATCTTTGAATAGTAACAATACAGCAGCGATGACTCTAGACTTCCAAGGGTTAAATCCAATCATCCACAACTATCATTGTTCCAGAACTATATATTACTGATGAGTATTGAGACTTTAGGATATGAAACATCCAATATAAATCCATAAAATGTGTAAAACTGCAAAGCACAGCAGTCGTGTTATTTCTGCAGTCAGTGTTGTCAGAACGCTACTCACGGGATTTTTCTTCTTCTTGTCTTTGTTTTTGCTGGGCTTGCGGTTGCTCACGAAGTAGTGCAGCGTTCCGTACTCGATCAGAGCGGCGAAGACGAAAATGAAGCAGACGGACACAAAGAGGTCCATGGCCGTCACGTAGGAGACTTTAGGCAGGGACTTCCTAGCGATGGTACTCAGCGTGGTCATGGTCAGCACAGTGGTGATTCCTACAGAGGAGAGAGGAGATGCATTAGGATAGATGGAACGCCAACTGGGAGTTTGCAAAGGAATCATTTGAACGAAGATACAGGCAGCAAAGCTTATTATTGAAAAAGCTGATCCCTCAAAACATCATTTCCTACCCCTCTGTGGTTTGGGGGCATCTTCACGAAACTCTCCTTTAAAGGCTCTTCATATAACATGATCCTCATGTGTTTCATATCTAAATGCTCCGTTATCTTCATCACTACTTTCCAAAACCGCTGCAGCAGCTTCAGCAGCTGTAAACTCTCTGCACGCCATTTCACATGAGTCTCCGATGTGGACCGAATGAAGAATGAAGGGTTTCCGGCGTGATGGTCAGTCCTTAGTGATTTCCTGAGTGTCCATTGGTCAGTTTCACACAGAATGTAGATGGACACACCAATCCACCAGTTCCACACGGTGAGAGGCAGATGACGTGTATCTCAGCCCCTCTTCATAGGCTCATAACTCCGGATGTGAGTCTCGTATGATCTCGAGATAAGATGGAATGGAAAGGGTGACTCTACAGATTCAGGAAGATTCACTCTAGAGATAAATGAAACAACAGAAGCCATATCGCCCCCTACACTTCCTGTAGTGTATTACAGTCCGTCATAATGTCTGTGTAGATCATATGAACATTATTGAGCATTATAGAGAGTGTTTTAAGTATATCAATCACAATGAACATCTGGTTTTTAAGAACTTGACTATCAGGACTGTTGTTAGTCATCAAGGCAACAAATATTATTACAGTAATGTGGAGTCTGCAGACCTCTTTAACTCAGGGCACTCAGTGCCGTGACTTTAACCATATGGTCATGAGGGAAAGTAACTGCAATGGTGCTAATGATCCAGTGCTGGATAAGTGAGGACCATCTGCTTAGCTTCTTCAGATCCAGTAAGCTAGATGGGAAGATATACCATATTGAGGTGGGGGAGGGCTCCCTCATCAGATCAATGTAAACAGATACCACTCACTAACCAGTGTCAATCCTCAGCTGACTGCATGTAGGTCTAAGATTTTATTTATTTTATATTTTGATTACCATTTATGTTTGTGTATGGTTCTATATCTTTCTCTGATGTAGGTAATCATTTTCTGTTAAGATTAATACTGTAGTATCTGTGCCTGTACCTCGAATGATTATTAGATGGCACTAAAGGATTGAAAATTATGTCACTGCTGTTAATCCCTTCCAGTGAACCATCAGATTTCCCCCCGAAATGTTTTAGGACAAAATATATGTATTTCAGATTTGGTTTGAGTTTGATCTGATTGGTACATGATACCTTATTATGACTTGATCTTGACTAATACCAAAGCCAAAAGTAGGAAACTTGACAATAGACTTGGTGACCATATGAAAATGCTTCTCCAGAACATCCTGACTTCTGCTTGGTTCTTTAGGTTTTTGGTTTTAGTTGCTGGTTCATGATTCCTTTGATTGTCTCCTTCCATCCTGGTCACCCTCTTCCTCTTATACCTTCAACTGTCCCAAACATAATAGTCTTTTCTTCAGTTTGGTCTCCAGTTTGGATACCTAGGCTTCAAATGAGAGGCGAGGTGGTCCATTTCTTTATTTTCTTTATTTTCTTGCTGTCCAAGGTTCTCCCAAAAGCCTTCGCCAGCACACAGGTTCAAATGCATCAGAGCATTTCCTGTCCCACTTTTGTGCCCAGCTTTCAGATACATAAAGAACCAAAGAACAGACAAGTCTGATCTTTGTTTCTGGAGAGACGTCATTACATTTGAAGATGTTTTCAAGCTCCTTCATCCTTGATTGTCAGAGTGTTGATTCTTGACTTTGTTTTTGATCCATGTAAGCAAAAGCTGTCCTTCTACATCCTCACCATCAATGGGAAAGTCAGTAGTCTTTCACATGATGTTAACCTTAGTTTTCTTCATAATGAGCTAAAGACCTAACTTTCTCTGAACAAAATAAACAAACTTATTAGGAAGGCTGGCTCTGTTGTAGGAGTCAAGCTGGACTCTTTGGAGGTTGTGGCAGAACAGAGGACACTCAACAAGCTGTTAGCCATATTGGACACCAACTCACACCCCCTGCATGCTACACTGAATAAACAGAGAAGCTCATTCAGTGCAGACTGTACAGCTGCACTGTGTTAAAGAGCACCGTGTGAGATCTTTCTTACCCACTGCTATACGCCTCTACAGCGAGTCTCCTTACTGCAGAGAAGGCACTGATCTCCTGCTGTCTGAACTGAGCTGAACCTCATCACTGTATCTCCTCTCCTGTTAATACACACTGTGCAATATATCATAACTGCTACTGTAATGAGTCCCACTGCGCACTTCACACTGTAATATTGATGCAACTCCGAGTTAGTTCTGTCTATAATCTGTGCTTTTAGTTTACCTCATACCACTCAGTGCCTGCTGTCATGTAAATACAGCAAATCTGTCTCATATGCCATGTAAATATGTAAAATAGATTATAGGCAAAAATAGATATACTTTTATATCATTTTTAAATGTATTTCTCTTGTATTCAAACGTAGGTCTAGATTTATTTATATTCCCATTTTCCTGCATAGTATATGTGAGTTTATGTGCAGTTGTCTTGCTACTGAAACGCTGCAATTCCCCTTCAGGATCAATAAAGTTCTATCTAACTATCTGTCTTTGAAATCTTATTTCATGTGGCATCTTGGAATATCTTCGTGTACAATTTGCTAATGTTGCTTATAGTGAATGGAGGCTATCATGGTCTAGTTAGTTCATGCTAACTGTCTTTCAGGCTTTCATTAGATTATTAGCCACGTTAGCATTTTTAGGGTGAAATATTCCGGTAATGGACTCGGTGATATGATGTCAGGGTCGAGGTCATTCCGCTAAAAGGAAGACAGACTGCTGACTGTGAAGAACCTGAAAAGACAGGGATGCTTAAAGGCGTTTTGCCTTCTGGGGACAAGGGCAAAGTCAGAAAGTCCACAAATCCCCTAAATCCTCTCCTTGTGCTTCTGGCGAAGAAAAGGCACCTGTTTAAAGCGCTGATGGGCTGCACTCCTGCTGTGCTGCATAATTAATGCCTTATTAAGATATGCATAAGTACAAAAAAAGAGAAGCGTGGTGGGCCAGCCTTCGCTTCAGCCTGACTGGAATTAGAAAAAATATCTGAAAAACCATCTGTCCAGCCGTTCGGAGGGTGCAGGGCTGGACCACTGCAGGCTTCACGTGGAGAAGAAGGAAGAGCTTAATTAGTGACAACCTTCACTAATGAATTCCACTGGAAGGCGGCTGGGTGTATGTTTGCGCTCAGGCAAGGTTGGCTGATTATGAAAATGAAAACGAAAGTCTTGGCACGTGTACAGTGGGATTAAAAATAGAACAGATTTCTTTTCTTCCTTTTTTCTTGCTTGTTGCTTTGATGCTCAGAGGCTGTGTCCTAAATGATGCCATACTCACTATGAAGTGCCCTATTTTGGGAGCTGTATATGTAATAGTTTGAAAACACAGTGGAGAAAATTCAGTGCACTCTTACAATCCCACAACGCACTACAATGGGTAGTGGACACAGAACAGCCATAATGCACTGTGTTATATGTGATGGAACTTAAATCCTGAAGCAGATTGATAAGCAAACATATTGGTAACACTTTAAGGTCTGCTTTTATAACAGTTAATGAACTACTGCCAATCAAGGAATAATTCTCAACATATTTGTTTACAAGCTTAGGAATGTGTTATAAATGATGTCTTCACACGGTTTTCTGTAAATTCGTTATTAACTGTTGACTAATAGGTTGAATATGAATTCATTGTACACACTTAAAAGGTTCTCCAAGGGTTCTTTATTAAACAAAATGATTCTATTAAGAACATGAGCACTCTGAGAACCTATTGCATGCTTAAATGGTTCTTTGCATTGTAAAAGTGTTCTTCAGATTGATGGAGAATGGAGCTGTATATGGTTCTTTATAGAAACCTTTTGAAAGAGTTCTATGTAACACCAAAAAGGGTTCTTTTATTGTATAAAAGCTTGACATTGTAAGAATGGAAGACCACTTTTTGGTGCTATATAGAACCATTTTCAAAAAGTTCCATATGAAACCTTATATAACACTTTCACAACGCAAAGAACTTTTTAATAGTGCAAAGCGTTCTTTAAGTGTTTATAGTTCTACCGTTTTCACTAAAGAACCCTTAAGGAAAAAATGTTACAATCGTTACAATGGCAGAACCCTTTTTAATGCTATACAGAACCATATACAGAACACACCATCAACCTGAAAAATACTTTCACAATGCAAAGAACCCTTAAATCATGCAAAGTGTTCTTTAAGTGTTTATGGTCCTCCATAGCACCATTTTCAGTAGTAAAGAACCATAAAAGATTTTTTTAAGAGCAAATCTATTAGTTACAAGCTTTCACAAGGAATATGAACAGATAATTATGATGTGAATTCCTAAAGACCAAATATGATAGTAAATGGTCACGTTCAAAAATTGCAGACACATGAACACTAAATATTCCACTAAATTACAATACAATAAAAAATTTTTCTAAAATTACAGTATTTCATTGTATTTCGCCATAAAGTCTGGGAGTAAATATCCGAGGATAACAGTTTATGACTTGGAAGTATCATTGTAAGCTCTTCCTAAGGGTAATGAAGTGTCTATGTTTAAATGTATGGTGTCATTCGGAGACTATTAAGTATTTTGTAAATGTTCTTCAGCTCTATCTTTGTGATGATTCGGCACAGAAATCCAGTTCAAACACTTCCTGAATCTGTAGAGTCGCCCTTTCCATTCCATCTTATCACGAGATCATACGAGACTCACATCCGGAGTTATGAGCCTATGAAGAGGGGCTGAGATACACGTCATCTGCCTCTCACTGTGTGGAACTGGTGGATTTGTGTGTCCGTCTACATTCTGTGTGAAACTGACCAATGGGCACTCAGGAAATCACTAAGGACTGACCATCACGCCGGAAACCCTTCATTCTTCATTCGGTCCACATCGGTGACTCATGTGAAATGGCGTGCAGAGAGTTTACAGCTGCTGAAGCTGCTGCAGTGGTTTTGGAAAGTAGTGATGAAGATAACGGAGCATTTAGATATGAAACATATGAGGATCATGATATATGAAGAGCCTTTAGAGGAGAGTTTAAGAAGAAATGAACAAATCAGAAAAATGTCCTCAGACCACAGAGGGTTAAACAGCTGTTAGTGATGGATAGTTAACACAGCTGCTTTCAGAAAAACACTGCATTGTGTAGAATATAGTCTAATGTCTTAATTTTTCATCAGACATGTCTGATACTGTTAACAATTTTCTATTAAAAATTGGTTTAGGTTCATCACTATAGAGTCTTTCAAGAGTGAGTTGATTCTTTTTCCCCCCATGTTTATTCAAACCTAATGAGAGTGTCTGTACCTAAGGAAGTGCGGGCTGGGACGGCGTCCTTGTTGATCCAGAAGGAGACCCAGGACAGCACGACGATGAGGGTGCAGGGGATGTAGGTCTGGATGGTGAAGTAACCCATTCTCCTGCTCAGCTCGAAAAAGACCGTCAGCACCACATAGTCACCTGGAGAACAGAGGAAAACAAGAACACAATGAATATAAGGTGAGCAATATGTACACAGAGGAGGTCACGTGTGGTGGAATTATACCGACTGGCCACTACGCTCATTGTCCATTTTATCAGCTCCACTGACCATATAGTTTCACTTTGTAGTTCTACAGTTACAGACTGTAGTCCATCTGTTTCTCTGATACTTTGTTAGCCCCCTTTTACCCTATTCTTCAGTGGTCAGGACCCCCATGGACCCTCAGAGCAGGTACTATTTGGGTGGTGGATCATTCTCAGCACTGCAGTAACACTGACGTGGTGGTCGTGTGTTAGTGTGTGTTGTGCTGGTATGAGTGGATCAGACAGCAGTGCTGCTGGAGTTTTTAAACATAGCATATAAAATATGTTTTATTTGTTTTCCCAATATGGTAAAACAGCACAGAACAAAACAGTGAGTTAACTTATTTTCATTTAGAAAATTAACAAAATAATTGTTTTTAACCCCTTAACTAGCCACAGGCTCACTGGCAGGCCCAAGGGTTTATTACACACTTCTATAACCTAAAAATAGCTCTATTAGTTTGCATTGACATCCCTGTAGTTAATGAACAATATGCTTTTCTATGACATAAACCTGGGTCTGTTAAAGGGTTACACATTTGGGTAACACTTTACTGTAGGGTTCTGTTCATTAGGCTACATGACACCTACATAAGCTTGTCTGACTGACATAACCCTACATGTTTATGAACGCTTATTCCAACAAATATTATCTGTCATAAAGGTAGTTTAGCAGACTTATCAAAAACTGGCAAATGTAGCATGTGCAGCGAATTACACCTATTGGAATAAGCATTTACAAACATTTATGTAGGGTTATGTCAGTCGTCATGACAAGCTTATGTAGCTGTCATAAAGCCTTATGACCAGTACCCTATGGTCAAGTGTTATCAACATTTGCAAACGACTGTACATCATGCCAGTCACCAGTAATACTAACATGACACTGTTATAGTACTGAACATAATCAGTCATGCTACGTTTATTTCATGGTTGTCAATGTTATTTAGCTGGGGCTCAATTAAAATGTCACTTTTTTGCTTTAGCATTTATTAACAAAAACGTAGTTAACCGTAATGTATATTTGCTTGGAGTTTCAGCTTGTTTTGAATGAACAGTTCAAGCTAAATAAACAGTAGGTTTCCTTTTTGGAAATGTGCATCTGTTTGGTTTATGTTTACTTTATATATTGTATAAATACTGGCTCCTTGTGGAATTTTACGAAAAGGAAACAGAATAAAACAGTCTAGTAGAGAAGCACCAATCCGATACCATCAGCAGTGAAAGATGGATTGATAAAGAAAAAAAAATCTGATCCAATCCTGTTACAAATCCTTAAAGACCACACATTCATTTCTCATTTTAAATATAAAGAGCTTATGGAAAATAATAAATTTCATATAAAGAGCTAACTGGACTGTTATTGGTATCAGACAGTAGTTAAGGTTAAAAAATTCAGTAATAGTATCAAAAATAAAAAATGGTATCGTGTCACCGCTAGTCCAAACAAAATCAGCAAAGTCAAGTTTGTAAGACTTCTTTTAAGCAGAGTTACAGCACTGAGGAGGCATGGGTTTATAACTGTATCAGTGAGAATTTATTCAGAAAGATAGTTGTAGGAGTGCTCTACATTGAAAAAAATCTTTGCTTTTAATGTTTTTCGTGCTCTTTGATGTCAAGGGAAAAGTTCATTGAAGAAAGAGAGAGAAAAAAAGAAAAGAGAAAACTCTCCAAACCAATGCACTCTCCTTAAATTAAAACGTTTTCATTGTATTAACAATTATTAATGTCCTAGCCGGACTGTTAAAAGCCCATGTGTAGCAGCTCGTGCCTTCTTCAGGGCATAATTCATTCATTTAACGGTCCAGCTAGAACATGTCAAAATAATAAAGACATTTTAATTTGAGGAGTGCTTTAGTTTTGAGAGGTTACCTTGTCTTTCTTCCTTGCAAATGTACTCACTTTATCAAAGCTAGATTTAATATAATCTAATACTGCGGTATATTTGGATAATATTATGATAATTTTAATAAGGACCTCTCCACCCTCCAGCTAATCACAGGAGTATAAGGGTGTTTTCACATTAGAGCTTTTTTCCAGACCCAGGACTGCTTGCTTTTTGAGTTCGGTATGTTTGATCGAGTGTGAAAGCTGTTCTTTACTGGAGAATGTGCTGTATTTGGTTCTATGTAGAACCTTTTTGTAAAGGGTTCTATATAGCACCAAAATGTGCTCTTCCATTGTAACAAGCTTGACATTATGACAACAGTAGAACCCTTTTTGATGCTACATAGAACCATTTACAGCGCATTTCCCATCAACCTGAAGAACAATAATTTCACAGTGCAGTGAACTCTTAAATCATGCAAAGGGTTCTTTAAGTGTTCATGGTCCTACATAGCACCATTTTCTTTAGTTAAGAACCTTTAAAGAACTTTAAGAGCAAATCTTTCAGTAACAAGCATACTTAATCAAGGAATACAAACATATAATAACGATCAGAATTCAATGATCAAATATGATAGTAATAGTCATATTTCAAAAATTGCAGACATTAACAGTAATTTTACATTAAATTACAGTACAAGGGTGAAAGCTGTTTTCAAGTCTGAAAGCAGAACAGAGAACCACAAACCTGCATGCAGAACAGTGATGGAATTGCAAATTGATCTATGGTTTAGAAGAAATTGTGTGTGAAAAGAAACCAGCAATAATGAGCCCCTCCCCTAAATGAGCCCGGAACCAGTCCAGAATCAAGTATCCAGGACAAGTGTGAAAACACCCTTCAGATAAAAGGAGGTCCAAGATAGCAGGATCTACCAATATAGAGTTACATGTGGTTTCTAGTAGCTGTTGTTGGACTGGTTAGGAGACCGAACACTCAAATTAAGTGCTGGAATTATCATTGCAAATACATCAGTTTCATAGCTGCTCTTGCTAGGCTGGACTAGTTTTAGAGAACGATGGTACAAATTCTATTCAACCTAATGAGAAACTGTAGAACAGACTCGGTTTATATCACAATACCTACATTTAGAGTCGGTTATTCATTCAGCCTAATGAGAAACTGTAGAACAGACTCGGTTTATATCACAATACCTACATTTAGAGTCAGTTACTCATTCAACCTAATGAGAAACTGTAGAACAGACTTGGTTTATATCACAATACCTACATTTAGAGTCGGTTATTCATTCAGCCTAATGAGAAACTGTAGAACAGACTCAGTTTATATCACAATACCTACATTTAGAGTCGGTTATTCATTCAGCCTAATGAGAAACTGTAACTACGTTTTTCCAAAAATATCTAAAATCATTAGGTTGAATGTAATTTTTGCAGACGTACGCCAAAGAACACATTTGTGGGTGGAACACGCACATAGGACAACCGCTGACACCACAGAACTGCATTATTATCTTCTCTCGTGTGGCTCATTTCGACAGTAGAGATAAACAAGAAGCTTCACATCTTAGGAAGAACCTCGATGCTGTGTTCTGTATAATGAGCTGATGGAGAAACTAATTTGAAAAACATCCAAATTCACTTTAAAGCACTGCCAAGTGGGTGAAGAAGGAAAAGACATTGAGAGAGAAAACCCAGCTGAGGTTACATATACAGGAACGATTATCCAAACTTCATTGTAGAGAGAATATAGTGAAGAAACCAATCACTAAAACTCAGAACCAGGAACTCCACAGACGTTTATTCAGCTGGTATTCAGAGAGGAGCTCACACAGCCATCTGTACAGGCTCAAACAAAGCGTCCATCACTTCTTTCATCATTTTCATCAATATTAGCAAAGAGCTCGGGGATCCCGCTGCTAACTCTACTCACAAATCCTCTCAAGACCCATTATTTTTATTTCATAAAAGCTTGAGGACAAGTCAGGTTAATGTACTGGAGAACACCTGGAGCGCTGTTCTGTGTGGTCCTGCGTTCATTTCAGTTTTTCAACATTTTATTCTACTGTAAATTCACTTTTAACCTACTTCTAGTTCAACCAGGATTTTCCAAGTGATGCACTGTTAATTATTAACAGGATTTCACAATATTTAAACCCCATCATCGAGTTGCATCACACAGCATTATGGGATATGACAGATACAGAGATTTTAAAAAGGTATGAACATTTTAATAAAAACATTTTTGAATGCTGGTGCACTGAGGTGTTTTCAAGAATTGTATTGTTTTTATTGCCAGATGTGCAATTTTTTGGTCTAGTTTGTGCAAATAATAAGCAAATTTAAACTGCATGTAATATTTATTTGCATCAAAAATGTGCACATACAGCACAAAGTCTGAATAAATGTTTAAAATTTTCTTTAATTACAGTTTCTCTTTTACTAAAGTCAAAATTCTGTTTTTCTTATGTAAATTTACAGTAAATTACTGGCTACTGAGTTACTTTACATTACTTCAACAGTAACTGTTGGGTAAAAATACAGGAGATTACTGTATTTTAGTTAGAGCTTACAGTTATTACTGTAGATCAGAATGCAGCTAATCCTATGCTGCAGGTCAGGGTGAAGTCACAGAACACAGCTGCTTATTTAGTCTTATTTACTGTTAATATGGTACAAAAGTAATAGTAATGCAATTAGTAGGCAGTGATTTACTGCAATTTTATGGAGAATTTTTTTTTACAGTGTGGTTTGCAATTGACATCTGGATTATACAGAGCACTATGTGAAGATACTCCCACTGTCCATGTTGGCTAGCGTTATCATGGCTAATCTTCACTAACTAGTGTGCTTACTTGACTGTAGAAGTTATATAATCTACTTTTATATGAATAAAAGGAGTTTTAAAAAGTGAAGCTTCCAGTCTGTTCTGTTATAAAGTTCTCTATCATCGACTTTAGCTAGCTAACTAACTACCTACCTATCTAGGTTTTGTATGTAGCCAAAATGCCATGGTGAGATGGTGGTATCTGATTTGTCCATCTGAATCA